TTCAAACAAAAAACGATTATGCAATTTATCAAACACATAGTGTTATAATGGAAATAAAATAAAGGTACAAAACACCACAATCTCTTTCCCCTGTAGTACTGTCGCCTCCGAGGGGACCTAATTCTTATTTATACTCTAACAAAGCTTGGCCAACAGGTTTTTCATCATTGACCCAACGGACACACGGTGCGGACATGGTAAGATTTTCAGGCTCAGAGCGCACACAAGCATTAGGCAGATTTTTTCCTCGTTTCGGGTAGTAGCTGCGCAGAATAACCTTCCTCCGACGGTTGTCCACGTTCCTTCTATAACCCAGTTCAACGCACTATTAGACACCTATTTATGCGAATCTTTGCGCTGAGAACACAAAAAGCAGTGCATCACCCTTAACCACGTTCCTTCTTTCGGGTGAACGACAACCGCTGAACGACAAGAACAAAGCCTACACGGGAAACTTGGACAAAAGCCTCGATTCTGTGTGTCAATCCATGAATCCGTGAACTGCACAGGGAAACAAATATTTCCAACACGTCGATTGGCTCGTCTGCAATCATGGGGTTTGGGTTTCATCTCATGCAGTACTGCAGCGGCACCGGAAAATTTCAGATGTGAAGCGCCCCTCGGCAGACCCGTTTAGGTTACTTAAAATGACCTGCACCTTTGAAGAATCTGAACCAAAGAGAGCAATATCGTCCGCATACTCAATATCTGTGAGAGAACACCTCGGAAGTACTTCTATCTCCGAGTTTTCAGATGCAAGCAGAGGAGCTTTTAGCGGTTAGTCAAGAGGAAAGTTGATAGAGGGAAGCTTTGTTTGACACCACTTGACTCGGTGAACTCAGGGGATAGCTTCTTGTGTAAGCGCACGCGCCCAGAAATGTTCGCGCACGGTACCCTCATAAGGGATCTAAATTTGGCAGCGTCACCGTTGATCACCAGACACAGCCAAAGTTTCTGACGATCGATAGAGTCAAAGCCTTCCGATCGCGCACGGTACCCTCATAAGGGATCTAAATTTGGCAGCGTCACCGTTGATCACCAGACACAGCCAAAGTTTCTGACGATCGATAGAGTCAAAAACAGCCTTCCGATCATGAAAACATGATATTGGACCTTTGAAATGCTGGCGCTGTTCAGGAATTTGCCTCTAGGTAAATATACGACTAATAGACCATCGTCCGAAGCGAAGACCAGTTCGATTCCTGATATTCGACCAACCTGCGAAAAATAATGCCATGTAGCACCTTGGATGTAACGGCTACCGGGCTGACGCCACGATGCTTTTTTGTATGACGTTTTTGTGCCGTCAAAATTCTCACCAGGGTTTCACCATCTATGAAGAGTGAAGTGTAACCATGCGGATCGTGTACGTTGTTGCTTTGGAGGAATGATGTTTTTACTTTGGGTTCTTCTAGAGGTTGTGTTGTTACATGCTAGTCGAACTGGTTTTCAAAGTTTTTAACCCAAGCTAAGGACGAAGGGCCCACATCGGATGCAATATTTTTGACTTCTCAAAAGCATTCAGTCGAGTCCCACACGTCTCGCTGCTCTACATACTGGAGTCTTATGGGATTCAAGGGAAAATTTTGCGATGTATTAAGGCCTTCCTATCGGTCAGAACATTCCTAGTGAAAGTAGGCTTGACCTTTCTTCGGTACCGGTCTCCATTGGGGTTCCTCAGGGCTCCGTTTTGTGACCACCTCTGTTTTTGATCTACGTCAACGACCGTCCAGATTATATTTCAAGTTCATGTTTATTTTCTGCGGATGACTTGAAATCCTGGAGTTCCAATGCCAGCGGTCTTCAAATGGATGTAGACGTTGCACAGTATTGGTCGCTGGACTGGCACCTTCGTCTGAATGACGAAATTTGCGTTCATATGTCATTCGGAGGAGACGCAGCAAATACCCTTGTCGTTCGTGGTAAGAACGGACCGGAAGACATTATGAGGATCTATACAATAGGTAGCAAGAAGAACATAGGTATCTGGCTATCTTCAAACTTGTCCTTTTCACTTCATGAAAAATCGGCTCAAAAGACGTTCGTTCCACGGATGATTCGGCTTACCTATCTCAAATTACTTGTATTGATCTCCAGATACTCTATGAGACCCACGTCAGACAGCTTCTTGTATATGCCAACCAAATTATCTAATCAGGACGCAACAAAATCGTAACAATAATTGAGCGCGTCGAACGAGCTGCCACGAAAATGGTTGTCGGCCTTAAATGCGTTAATTATGAAACGCGCCTTGTGGCGCTTGATCTCTTTCCCCTGGAGAAAGCAGTACGCCCTCTTTAAACAACAGTTTTTCACCGCGGAACCAACGCATGGTGGGGAAGACATGGTAGGAAGACTTTCAAGTTCAAAGCACGCACTCATCAGGCAACAATTTTTCTCATTTCAGGTATTTGGTACGTGGGATAACCTTCCTCTGACGGTTGTTCGCGCTGCGTCGAGTACCCAGTTCAAAGCACTTTGAGGTGGTTTTGACTGTGAGTCCTCGCGCTGGTTAGATTACTGCCCCGGCTAAGCAGTGATGCACTCTTTTTTCACTTGCGCCTTTCAGGCGAACAGAAGTCGCTGAACGACAAGATCAAACCGGACCCAGGAAACTTGAGCGAAAGCGTCGATCTCGTGTACCAACTCGTGAACCCTCATCGTCCAAGCCGGCGATTTTGCGATAAATTACCGTCCCGTCGTTATGGCATTATATTTCGCTGACACCTTTTGTTCGGTAGATCGAATTAGGGCTCGGCTGTCGCCAGGTCATGTTAAACCATAATACATACGACTACCATACGACTATTATGCTACATCGGCGGTCGCGTGGTGTCATCAGCCCCGTCGACTTGCTTGCTACATATAGCCGCGCAGATAAGTGGAGCCAGGCTACTCTTGAGGCCTTTTACTCTTCCACGTTCCCCCATTCATCATCATCATCATCATCATCATCATCAAGGACAGCAACATCAGTGTTGCCACTGATGCTTCATTGCCGTATCCCCATTCCAATAATAACACTTCCTGTAGGGCCATTCATTAGAACTGATGACTTGTTTCGTCTCGTATCGGTTGTGGCCGCAACATCTGGGCGTCACCAACGCTGACAGCTTTATGTATCTCGAAACCAGTATTCAAGCTCAGTTTATCAGACCGGTTTTAAGGTTCGCACTCTGAAAGAAGCAAGAAAACAAGCTGCTCTTGCTCTCACACTGTACTGAGTTGACATTGATATGCCCCTTGTATCATAAATAAGAGTGCAAATGCGAGCACAGTGGTTGAGCAAACGGCTTATAGTCTCTACCGCCCGTTAGCACTGGTCATCCAGAGCCACCATGACAGGATTTGCGGTGGTTAGCATCGTCCCAAATCAGCTGGCGGAAAGATCCTTCCTTGACTGGGTACCTGTTGCTCGTAGCCTATTGTGTTTCGTCTAGAATCATCTGTGGAGGATTCTCAAGCGGCAAGTTGATCGTTGTCCATTTTCCGCATCTATTTGCGACCCCAACGAACCACAACTTTGTCACAAAGAAACTTGACCCTAACGTGATGGGACTGTTCGCGTGCATTCACAGTCCATTGAGCTATATTAAGGGTGTCCTTGAGACACTAGCAGAATCTAATACCATGTTCAAGAATGGTTAGAGGTCTGATGAACGCACTCAGGGTTGGGGTCTGGAACGTGTGTGTCGACTTGTCCCGTAAAAATTGTAATTCATCCACATTTCCCGCCAATCGCCGCTGCCTTGCGGTCAGACTTTTGAGCCAAAGGCTTTGGTTGAGGACCCTAACCGTCCTCTCATCTAATTGTGGGCGCCCTGACAGTGTCCCGGCGTAGGGACAACAATGAATTACACCTATACAAATAAACTTATGCCACATCGGTTGCCACGTGGCGCCATCAACGGAGTCGCCTTACTTGCTGCATACAGCAGGGTGGGTAAGCGAAAACACGCTACTGCTGACGCCTCTCTTCTTTCGCTTTCACATACTTTACCTTCTCCCTTTCCCGACGCCAGTACTTCCTCTCCTTGTAGGCCCGTCAGTTAAGAATGATGCGTCATGTGTTGGAATATTGGTAGCACGGGTGCATTAATTGGTAAATGATTAGGCCGCTGTTGATCTGTTCGCCGAGCTTACAAATCAGTTGCCAAGCTCAGCGAACAGATCAACAGCCACCTGATCAATTTCAGTGATGAGTCCGTTCGTCCTGCATCGGTTTTTCAAGCAATATATGCGCGGCATTTGGCGATATGAAAGAGGCTTGTAGTGAGTGCTGTAATCGCAGGAGGATCAGCTTGATGCCGGTTGTAACGGGGCTGTTCTCTACATTCCTATTTAATTTCGTGATCGATGAGACAATTAGACGAACGCTGAAAGCTCTTCAAAACCCTGGTGTTCAAATAGCTGCTCCCAGAAACTTTGTCGATCTGGAGTATGCAATCGTTATCTTTCTGTTCTTTGAAGAGGAGAAGGCGCGGGCGTTTTTACCGATTTGACCGAAGTCATCCTCCTTTGGTATCACTTTTCACTCACAAATTGCAAGGCGACGCCCATGAACATTCAAATACTGAAGATGTTACTTGCAATCCAGGGAGAGGCACTCGAAGTTGTAGAGAGTTTTGCATATCTTGAAGGTTGTATCAGTTCCCATTGCAGTGTAACAGATGAGATTAATATACGAATCTGCAAGGCTCGGGTCGCGTTTTTTTTATTTCAAGCACTTGTGGCGGTAGACCGTTATGCCCTAAATCTCATCATCATTATCATCTACAGCATGACATCAGTGTTCAACACTGATTCTTCACTGCCCTAAATCTCAAGGGACATGCGTCTCAGGCTACCTTGTGCGCTGTTTTGTTGTGAAGACCGCGTAATCCTCACGGCACCTGGTTGGAGATATGGCTGCTAATCGATGTCAGTAGCGTTCTTGTTGTCATTTTCCGAATTTCCTGAGTGAGTGTGTGCGCACCTTCGCAAACTAGCGCTCATTTCCTTCATCATCATCATCATCGACAGCACGACATCGGTGTTTAGCACTGATGCTTCACTGCCGTGCAACCATGATTTATTTGAAAGCCTTATTGTAAAGAAAAGAGTAAAGGTGGATCGGGAAGGAACCTAGTGCTAGCTTAACACAATCATTCCGAGGTGCCTACACCTCCAGACATTCACTCAAACAATTTGGATAGAAACTGACAACAAGAATGCCACTGACATCGGTCGGCAGCCATGTCTTGTAGTGTCTCCAACCAGGCACAGTGAGGATCACGCGGTCCTCACCCTGGAAGGCGGGTAGCACCGACAGCACCCAAGCGTTTCGTGATCT